TATGTGTGTGTGTATATATATATATAAAATAAAGAGCAGAGGCCAGCAAATTCCTTTCAGTCTCTGGAGTTGGATGATTTTGCCTTTGCCTTTTTTTGCTTTAAGACATGGATCATGCTTGAGCATTTTCTTTTGAATCAAATGCTAATATTTTTAGGCCACTTACCCTTTCTCCTTAGTTTCTCCAATATATTGCATTTGTGTCACAGACCTTCCCTCTTCCTTAGTGTTACGCCTTCCTGAAATTATGTAGTGTATATAATGTTGCAATGTAATGGTGTGGTTCCTGTCAGTGAGTGTTATGGTATCCCCAATGTATAAGTCCTTTTAATGGCTATTTAAGTGCTGCAAAACTGGCTTTGCACCAGGGCACAGTGGATCACTGTGTAATGAAATGGAAGTATCTTTCCTCCTAATGCCCTGAGACTCTACTGGCAGCTCGAAGTTAGAATGAGGATTATATTGCCTAACTACAACTGCTTGTGTAATAACCAGAGATTAACACTGTTAATTCCCCTCAGGGAAATGTTCTGCTGCTGCTCTAGATGTCCTAGCCAATGTATTTCGTGATGAACTTCTGCCACACATCTTGCCCCTTTTGAAGGAATTGCTCTTCCATCCCGAATGGGTAGTTAAAGAATCCGGTATCCTTGTTCTTGGAGCAATTGCTGAAGGTAAGGCAACAGTGCGTATCAGGTTGCTGAATTTTTGATTGGTTCTAAAGCAGCTCTGTGATTCCTTCCAGGTGAATTTACTTAGCAAAAAAGTAGATGTCCTTAGCTGGTTTGGTTTCGGTGATTAATCTCTACATCTACTAACTGGTGACTGCAGTTATTTAATTTTTCATTTTTAAATCTATGCTTGTTTGGGACATGACTTAGACAATTTCTTTTACTTCTCCCTTTCTTAACTCTGCAGCATGTATTTTTTGGTCTCTCATGAAATACTACCTTGATTTCATAGAAGAGGAATATTAATAAATTTGAGCCTTACATTTCATTTAAATGTTTTCAGAAATGGAGAAGACCACTCGTGTGACTTCAGTGCCCTGAGCTGCTTTTTGTGGATAGTTCTCCAACTTAAATATGATAACTTCCATTCCTTTGTACTTACTCACAGGCTTGCTTGGCGTTTTGCCTGCATTTCCAGCATCTCTGTCCCTTTTGCAAGTTGAAGGAATACATTTGGGTCTGTGCCTGGTTTGTCTTTTTTTTCCCACAGTGCCTAGTGAACATACTTTTTTCTTTGTTACTAGAAAACTTGTTTGTTTGTTTTGATTTCAAGTCAAGCAAGGTAAAAGTTAGTACTTCTGGCGAATCTCAGTGTATTACTGCCCTTGCTGACTTGAAACGTGGAGCTTTTATTGCTGGTCAGTACTTGTATGTTAGGAGAAAACAAGAAATTTAAATTTCTTAAGGAATCCTTTTTAATGATGTGATGATTTGTTGTCAAGACTGAATCTTTCTCTACTTGTTATCTTGGTTACTCTGAGTAGACTGATGTAGAACTTCCAAGCTTTATAAACTCATTTTATTTGCATATACTTGCCATACCCCATTTAATAAAGCAGAATTTCTGGAGATTGGGGAGGCACTGAAGTAGAAATGTAGTTGAAATGAATGTAAGTTTAATTGGGGATTTTAATTACTGTTTATGTAAGGTTTCTTTTTAGGACTTAATATAAATTAAGTCCTTAATATATTGTTAAAATATATTCCTGTGTGATAGAGAATGAAAATATGTCCCTTCTAGGAAATAGAAAACAATGGAACTTTTTATTGATTCTGGTACTGCAATAGCTATATTTTTCCTTCTAGGCTGCATGCAGGGTATGATTCCATATCTTCCTGAGCTGATCCCTCACCTTATTCAGTGCCTCTCTGACAAAAAGGCTCTTGTGCGCTCCATTACATGCTGGACTCTTAGTCGCTATGCACACTGGGTAGTTAGTCAACCCCCAGACACATACTTGAAGCCATTAATGACTGAGTTGCTAAAGCGTATCCTGGATAGCAACAAGAGAGTACAAGAAGCTGCCTGCAGGTAAGCCAAAGCTTAAGCAAAAAGCACTATCTGTGACACTGCTTTTTCACGGGAAACTATTTTAATGCCTTTATCAATGAACGTATGACTCCATTTCTAGCTCTTAGTGTATTCATTCCTTTTGTCTTTTAAATTGTAGTAGATGCAGCTTCTTCTGGAGTAGTCACAAATTACTCCAAGTTGTAAAAACATGCAGAAAGTTAATTTGTATTTCTCTTGGCCAGTTCGTATCAGAGTATATGAATCACCAAACTAAATAATTTATTGTAGTAAAAGAAATTGTTTGTGACACTTGTTTATTTTCAATATATGATGTTTCATTGACCAGAAATCTGGCTTTTTTTATATGCCTATGGACAAGGTCAATACTGATTGCAATAGAGAACTACCCTATCATTGGATTACTGATAGTGTTTATATTTAGCTCAGGATTACCAAAACATTTGGGTTATGATTATTTCAAGGGATATTCTCTTTCTGTTGAAGGGAGATCCTGGGAGATAAGATTTCCTTCTCCTCCTTGTCTGCTGATATTTAAAAAAAAAAAACAATTAATGGCTCCATTAATGGACACACCATTAATGGAATGGGAATGGGTGTACCTCTTGTGCAAGAAGCTCATCCAATAACGCTTTTACATGTCAGTTTGTGTGGGGCAGGAGTGTACACAGCAGACTGCCAAGGAGGTTTCTTCATAAAGCAGAGTTAGATCTGTATCAGATTGTATGCTTAACACTTGAAACATGCAATTTTTTTTATTATTATTATCATCATCATCATCACACCCCACCTTCAAACATCAGTAGTGCCTAAGGACAAGGCTGAGGTCAGAGTTCTCATGCTAAGCTTTGAACAGAAGGGGTAGATGTATCCTTGCCTGAGAACAGATACAATGAATTTGATGAAATGTACTTAGTAAGATTTGAGTATTAAACACTGTTTCCTTTTTGTCTCTAAACCTTCTCATGCATGAGGCTAGCAAATTTGTTGGGCTTTAACATCTGCTCTGGTCTATCTTTTCATGGTGATAGTCTTCTGTTACTTCCTGAATGAGCAGGAAAATGGTGATATAAGACTACTTGCTTCACGCATTTTCAGATCCAAGGAATCAGATTCTATTAAAAAAAACAAAAAACAAAACAAAATAAAAAAACATCCCAACAACCACCACCAAAAACCCCACACTTCTGTTCATACTTTCCTTGTCCAAAACATGGTTGAAATGTGCATGTAGTTGAACACAGCTGTATTGCAGTTGTTTAAATACCCTCATGTAGTGCTTACGAAGGAAGTGCAATGGGCAGCGGAAACTGTTAAAGTAATAGCAAACAGATGAAACGGAAATATTAAAAATAATGATACCCCTGACTTTTTTTTTTATTTGAAGTTCAGTATCAGATTTATAGCATGGTTTGAAATGCTTTCTTTAAGGCAGAAATTCATTAAAATTACTGTTGCAGCTAAAAAATAAACTGTCTGGCAAACTCAACTTGAAGGAAACTGTAGAGCTGTTACAAGTCAAAGCATTCTTACTAGCTTTCTAAATTGCAAGGAAATACAATGATCCTTTTTGGAGAGGAGCAAAAAGTTGCATCCCTACAGTGAATAGTTGCACGGATCATTAATGTCTACCAAATTGGAAATCGGTCATAGAATACTGTATGTTTTCATCACTAACTTCTGTATCATAGCAGAACGATATGTACTGAGATTCTGTACTACTGAGAAACTGCTCCTTTAGTTGGTGACACTCAAAAAGATATTTTACTGAAACATGTTTTCCTGCTCACGTCTTACGCATTTCTGAAAGAATACTTCATAACAACATAATAAAATAATGAATAAATAAAATAAGAATGTTAGCCACTTAGCGTTCACAGTTCCATTGTGTTAAGAAAAAGGCACTTCTGTATTTGGTAGCACGCTAGTAGGGGATTGTTCACTTCACGTGGTGATGCATGCATTTTTAGTGCAGGGATAGGCTAATAATAATCTTGTTGACACAAGCTAGGCCAGTAAATCTTCAATAGCTCATCATTTTTTCCTTCCCTTAATGTTTCTCTAAAGTAGCATGTCTGGTGGGTGGGAGTGTGTGTGTTTATTTTAGGTGGGTTTTTTTAATGCTGTTGTTCAAACACTTGACAGGCAACCTGAAAAGTTTCCATGATGCCATGATGTGTGCTTTGACCAAGGCTGGCTAAAATTGTTCATCCCTTGTCTTTGCTTTTAGTTTTCCTTGTCTTTCTATATCTGTTTTTCTATGTAGTGAACTGCTGAGAGTATAGGCTGATGTTGGCATTGTACTGCCACAACAGCACTAGGGCTTGTAGGTGCAGCTACAGCATACATTAAAGATAGTGGGCCATTTTTAACCTAAGTAAACAGCTTTTGTTATGGTTTCTACTATTTCAGTTAGTATATTGTAACTTGTGTACAGTAATGCTTTTCTCCATGGGGGCTTCCTGCGTATACATAACGGGTTTTACGGCAATATTTTTAAATTTTGTTCATCACAATGTAAGAGCTGAATCCTTATGTGTTGAATCAAAATAGATCAAGGTTATCTCTGTAACACCATTTTGAAAACATATCTTGGATGAATTTGAGGACCATATGTAGTTTTATGTTTAAACAGAAATGGGTAGTGTGGGGCATTTTGGGGTCGTCTTGTTTTGTTTTTTCCAAGATACTAACTGACCTGGTTTTTTGTCCCTCAGTGCCTTTGCTACTCTAGAAGAGGAGGCTTGTACAGAGCTCGTTCCTTATCTTGCATATATACTTGACACTTTGGTCTTCGCATTTAGTAAATACCAGCATAAAAACCTGCTCATTCTTTATGATGCTATAGGAACTCTGGCAGATTCTGTAGGACATCATCTAAATAAACCTGTGAGTATACCTTATGTTCTGTAGAAGCACTCGTCATACTTGAAAAACTGGTTCAGTGTTTTTTGTAGTGTGCTTTACATGTTATAAACCAGAAATGCTGATATTTCTGTGTAGGTTTCGATAATACTAAATATTTACAGGTAAAATACATAGACTGCATGTAATTTGCCCGCTACACAAATATTTGCCATTTTGAATAAACGATTGTGTGTGTGGTGGCTTGTGAAATGTGCTTCTCATTGTGATTTTTTTTCTCGTGCTCAGAATTTTTCAGCTCAGAGGAGGTATATGTATCAATATAGATATGAAATGGAGAGAAATTGGTGTTTTAATTCCTAATGACCACACTTTTTTTTGTAACCACTTTCAGTATAGCTAAGCTGCTCTCTGTGTCCCTTTCCAATGTATTGGAGCATGTCATCACTAGGAATTGCTTTATCAGAGAGTGAGACAGGCATTCATTTTGTATATAAAAACACAGAATCCTTTGGTCAAACACACACAAACGTATAGTGGGTGGTTTTTTTAGTGTACGTATATTAATTAATAGAATATACATACATGTCACGTGTCCATCTTCTTACAATGGTTATTGATAAAATTTGTTTTATTTCTCTGTAGTGCTTCACATGACATAGACACACTCGAATAAAACAATTTGAGTTGTGTCCATGGCATTTTACTTGCTGTCCAAGACTCCACACCAACAAAGGACCTCTTTTTCAGTCTCTTTCTGGCCCTGGCCACCTTGACATGTGACAGCACCAGGAGGAAGCTAAATGGGAGCTCCTGGTGATGGTGGGACTTTCTTCAGTCACTTAGAATTTTGTATCTTTGGACATACCGTTAGCTGGCAGCATCAGTTGGCTCTTTAGATACCTTCTGGGAGCAATAGCACTATAGGGATGCCTTGTTCAGTGTCTTTGTGACTGTGGCTGTGCAGTGGCAGGGAAGATGCAACAGCTTTATACAGAATGGGTAAGTGCGTCCTTCTGGAGGGATAGGAAATTACTTTCTTCATGGATGGTTAGTTGCTTGAGGAAGAAGTTTCAGGAACTTGGGGGGATAGGGTTGTAGCATCAGGGCAATGGGAAATGGTTGAGAAAAGCAGGTGGAAGATGCACAGCCAGATTGCATTGCTAGTAAAATAATTTTCCATAGGGCCTAAGGCAATCACATAGATTTGTAACAACCCAGGCAGCTATTAAAAGTTGCTAAACTGAAACCAAACCTGGAGGAAAAGATTCATTCTGCAAAGATACTTACGTGCTTCAGCAAAAAATCTTAAGATTTTTCTACATATTGCAACAATGTTTGAATTACAGTACATCAGGGTTTTTTTGCTGAAAAAGTAGAATATATATAAATTCTTGATACATCCATTTTCTAGCTTTGAAATAAAATAGTATGCAGTGAAGTGTTTCAGCAGCTGATGCATTTTCATCCTAAACAGGAATATATTCAGATGCTAATGCCTCCATTAATCCAGAAGTGGAACATGTTGAAGGATGAAGATAAAGATCTCTTCCCTTTATTAGAGGTAAATGTTAAAATTTGAGTATTTTTTATCAACTTCTTTTAGGAATTAGACTTTCTACTGAAGATGCTCCTGCTGGGAAGTATGACTATAAAAGCTGGCAGTGTTTTCCCATTATGGAGACAATATTCTGACTGTAGTAAGAAAATTTTGTTTCTGAGGAAATGGCATTAAGTTTGGCAGATTCTTAGATTTTTTTCCCTGCCATTCTGGAGTGTTTTGTTTGATGGGATTCTTTTAGGAAAAAAAAAAAAAGAAATGTTCCATCCCCCTTTTATTCTTGTCTTCTCTCTCCTTCTTCTCCCTTCATCCCTCCATTAAAACTGTTGTCAGACGAGCTGAAGGTATTAACCAGACCATATAATCTATTCTCTGTACTTTTCAAGTGTGAAGCAGGAAAGCACCTCTAGAAAAATTAGTTTCATAACTCTTAGGCAATGTTAGGGCTTGTACATCGTCAAGATATTAAAGCTTAGTGTAAGTGTTGGCTGAATTATCGTAACTGATTTTGTATGCACTTTCTTGGCTACCTCTGAGAAGGTGTTGGTGCTGAGTAATTTTCTCAACTGGCATACGTAGGAGAGAGTAATAACTTGCTGATAGTTGGCTTGGCTCAGCTGATTGGTACTGCCTTTCTAGGTTGTGTTTACTTATATCAGCTACGTGTAGGTATACTTAAAATGCTAATATCTTTTAATTTACCTCTTCAAGTAAAAGGCATTTCAGGGATGTGAGGAAAGGTAGTGACTGTTTTATTTCTTTTCTTTTTTTAATTCTAGTGCCTGTCGTCAGTTGCTACTGCCTTGCAATCTGGCTTTCTTCCATACTGTGAACCTGTGTACCAGCGTTGTGTAAATCTGGTGCAGAAGACCCTTGCACAAGCCATGGTATTTTTCTATTGCTATTCCAATGTTTTCAGAAGATGTCCTTAAAGCAATATATTAAGTATGTAAAGTTATGGGTTTGCAGGGAGATTTGTAGTATAACCATTGAATATTTAAATAAAGCTGCAGTTCTGCAACTTTTTTATGCATACCCCTGAGAAAATCTAATACTCAGTTTGAAAACGCGTACTTATTTGTTGCAGTTGCATAATGCTCAGCCAGACCAATATGAGGCTCCAGATAAAGATTTTATGATTGTGGCTCTTGATTTACTCAGTGGTTTAGCTGAAGGACTTGGAGGCAACATTGAACAGCTGGTGGCTCGCAGCAATATCCTGACACTAATGTACCAGTGCATGCAGGTGAGATGAGTAACCTGTTTGATCCAAGGATTTTCTTTCTTAAGAGAATCAGAAACACTTCTAGAATTGTCATTTTTTTTCTTCCTCTCTTTAGGATAAAATGCCTGAGGTACGGCAAAGTTCTTTTGCATTGTTAGGTGATCTGACAAAGGCGTGTTTTCAGCATGTTAAGCCTTGCATCGGTATGTTTCTTTTACATATTAAACAATTAACTTGTTTTACAAACTGATAAGAGGCTGGTTTAGCCATTGTTCAGCTCCCTTTTCTGTGGGTTGCCTTTCCATGGTGGTGTAAGTTTTCATTTACCTTTATCAGCAAGGGTCTCTAGTCTTTTCTTCTTCGAATTGCGTGTTTAAAAGACATGTTCTTATTTTTGTAGACAGTGCAAAAGTTCATTTTAGTCCTTGATTTTTATAATGTAACAAGCTACCTGTTGTGCTGGAATACAGCAAAACAGGTGTACTTAGACTTCAATTAGAATAGTTTCTTGCTTTGATAAATTCTTGAATTTATAGCTTTTTTTGTTCTATTACATATTGTTACATAAAATTTTTTTTATTTATATATAAAAAAATTAGAAAACTTGGCTAGAGGGTAGGTTTTGGTTTGGTTTTTTGCTTTGTTTTTAATTTCAGTAGGGAAATAGCATCAATTATACATTTCCATGATATTTGCTGTCTCTTCCTGCAGATACTCTTGAGATGCTCTTAACTTGCCAAATGAATGCTTGGGTAGGCTTGGAATTTAAAATTTATTTGGCAGATGTTATAATCTATCTTTGTGACTATTTTTTTCTTAAAGTTTAATCAAGGACATGATTGCCTTCTAGGCTTCATTGTTTTTTCAAGCATAGCTGAATACAAAGCTATCCAGGTGATTTGAGAGTTGTTCAAGTATGTTATAAAACTACAAGTACTTGTAGCTGTGGTTTTTTTCTTCTTCCCTCTTCCCCTCTCTTCCCCCACCCCAGCAAGGGAAGGGGAGAAAAAAGGTTTCTAGAGTTACATAAAGATAAAGCCTATTAGAAACATTTTAAAATGATAATTTGAAAAGATTCGCATTGATCTGCTTAGGTTCTAAAATCCAGGTTAATCTGATATATAACAGAAATATAGCTCTTGTTAATTCATGTGTAACACTTTCCAAGCATTTAAATAGGCTTACATGGTTTTTTTTAGAAAACTTCTTTTTTTTTTCCCCCTGTGATCTTACAGTAATAGGACAAGGTGGTTGTATTGTGTGATAAGATTTTAAAATGTTGTTCTTTCTAGCTGATTTCATGCCCATTTTGGGAACCAACCTAAACCCTGAATTCATTTCTGTGTGTAACAATGCCACCTGGGCAATTGGAGAAATCTCCATTCAGATGGGTAAGATTTGTTTTTTTCTTTTAATCTTTGCACATTTAGCATGGTTTGTCTGGGTAGTTTTGGGGGGTTTTTTAGTGATGCTTTCATGTTAAAATTTATATTAAATTTGAGATTCTTGTCCTTGTTAGTAAGTTCAATGTAGCAAATCTATTTAGCTTATGTATATTAATGGTCATTTTCTTCTGAATCTTTGGTTTTTTTCTGGCTGTTTCAGGTATAGAGATGCAGCCTTATATTCCAATGGTGTTGCACCAGCTTGTAGAAATAATTAACAGACCCAACACACCAAAGACGTTGTTAGAGAACACAGGTACCCAAAAACTGCACCATATATGGTGAAGGGAATTAGAGATTTTTTAATAATGATTTAAAAAATTGCATAGGGGAACCACGCCAGAACTGATTTTATTGCTATATATTTGGCTTTTATAAGCAAAAGCAACTCTGTTTTGCAGAAGCTCTTACAAGTCTCAGTCTTGCAGCCAAACCATCTATCATATATCTAGATTCTTAAAGTTACTGCTTTCTCACTTTTATAACATTTATATTTATTTATCATCTGTTTAATTAAGTATTCTTCCAGTTTTCTTTATGTATTGAATATGACAAATGTATGCAGTAACACTTAAAAGACTTAGTTCACACCGATTTTAATATATGCATGTTCTTACACATGTGTACTGTATATATATGTCTAGTGTTTGAAACAAATGTAATTGGCATATATAAAACAAATCATGAACTCTGAATTTACAAAAAATGCACTCTGGTTTTTTTTTTTTTAAGATTAACTCGTGATATCATGCACAAAAATCTAGATCTGTGATGGCAGTTTTACCACAACATAACTGAAATTATGTATAACTTCTATTACCTGGTCACTTAATAACAAATTTCTGAAAAGAATTCTAATAATGGCATGCATGTTTTATGTTCTGGCCCACAGCTTTGCCTTCCAAATTGGGGAAAATTCCCAAATGCCTTACTGAATCAGAATGTCTGAGGCTTGTTTCTTGTGCATTTATAGAGGGAATGTTCTGGTATGAAGAGCACCTTCCATACTTCAGCAAAACTTTATTAATAATTTGACAGATTTCTGGTTTACTATTTTACTAATTGAGAATCTTTTTTTTTTTTCCTATATGAAAACGGTCTTGTAAGAAAATGACAGTTTAGTCATTATACTTGACATGATTGAACATTATGCAAATTCAGTGCTACAGTTATATTTTTTGAGCTAAGCAAGACATAAATTGGAGAGAGATTTTCAATGCATGTTTTTCCTTCAGTATTCTCTAAACTGAAAACCTGCACTTTCTCTGCCCCCCTCCCTTTCCCCATTTAGTATGGAAGGTGAACTTGAAGGAAAAATTACCTAGTTGTCTGGCATATTATAGGTACTACTTTTTGCAAAGATATTTTTGGAGCAAATACCTACTTGTTGTGAAATATACCGTGGAATGGTATAGCAATATAAATTTTCTTTCCCCCCACCCCTGCCCTGACCCCCTTCCTCTGCACTGATGGATGTGTAATACCTGTGACTGAGACATATCCAGTACTTTAATGTTTGCTTCCATCATTGTTAGAGAATTTTTGGAAGCATCCAAACATTGACTTTTTTTTTTTTTAATTCTCTTTAATAGCTTAAATGTGGATGCATAACTGCAAATAAATGTTGAGTGTGGTGTACTTATTATAAGTTTGTTGTGGGATATTGTGCTGCATGCCACTAGTATGTGCAAGGATATTACTTTTTTCTGCTCTAGCTTGCTATGTAATGAGCTATGAAAACACTTCTATGGAAACACAAGACCACCTTAAGTAAAAATAATTGCATAGAAAATAACCAGTACATGCCAAAAAGTTGAGCTTTGACAGAGATTACTATTCCTTGTACAGACTGTAGCTGTGAGAATTTACAGATAAAACTTAAAAGTATATTTTCATTTGAAAGTAGCACTTCAAATGCAGTTTTATAAGTTAGATCTGCCAAAAATTTTAGACACTGCATATTGAAATTGAGTAACAACAGGGCAAAACAGTACATTACCAGTGAGTTGTGGCTTTCATGGAATGAGTACATTTCAAACCGTTAGTATATCCTACACCAAACTTAAATTGGAGAAAGCATCATCTGCTTTATTGCATGTTTCATGAAACTGTTCACAAATGCCTGTTAATTAGAGTGTTGCATAGTATGTCCCTTGAACATAGGTTTCCTTTCTCTGCTTCATATAAATCTGCTGGATTTTAGTACTATTCATGTATTTTGCTTCAAGTAATCCTGATACATTATTCCCCACCCTCTCCTTTTTCTAAAGATTAATCTTTCGTGAGTTGAGCAAACACCATTAAAACACATTTGCATGATGATATTTTCTTCAGACTGTCCCTCAGAACAAAGGACCAAACTACCTAATCATCTGATGAAGCAATTTTGCTTTTCATGTGTCCTTATGCCTTGGCATCACAAGTCAGATTCTTATATGACTTCTATGAGGGAGCCTTTTGTGAACAGGAGAAATATTGGGATTAAAGAATTAATCTGCAGTCACTTTAAATTAAATTCTCTATGAGATTATGAAGAAAACAAATATTTGGTGCTCTTTGAGAAATGTTTAATCTATTTGGCATTTTTAGATACAATAGACCACAATATTTTCTATGTAAAAGTATTTCTAAATGTATTTTTACTGATAGAGTAGATCTATTAAAATCTTGAATTCTAAATATTGAAAAAAAAAAATGTTTAGAATACCTGATACTAAAACTGAAAATTATTAATTCCTTTTTATCGAGAGTATACATAATAGTACATTTGAATAAAAGCTTTGAAATGTATGGTAGGTAAATTTACTGTAAGAGATTACTCTGACGAGGGCAGAATGACTGCTTACATCAGAAAGCCTTTGGATTTTAAATTGTGTTTTTGGTGTTCTCTCACCAAAATTTACTTCTTTAATTTTTCTTTTACCCTGGAGAGTATACCATATATGTTGCTGCCTCTTATTTAGGGGGTGGTAATAAACAGCACTGGTGAAATCTTATGTTTATTATCATACACAGATTCTGTTGGTTTCTGTTTCTGAGTTATTTGTTGTTTTTTCTTTATTTTTTCTCCTCCCCCCTCATTTGCTCATGTCTTGGTTGGCGTTTGGTGGTGTATAACCGTGATTGCGTTACCTTAGCAATAACAATTGGTCGTCTTGGTTACGTTTGTCCTCAAGAGGTGGCCCCCATGCTACAGCAGTTTATAAGACCCTGGTGTGTATTATTCAATCTTTTTTTTTAATTCATTTTTCTTCACTCTCTTTCTTTCTTTCTTCTCTCTATCTCACTTTTAGATATATTTTCAGTTGGTTACAAAAATCTCAATCCTTAATCATTGCCAACCATGTGACTAATCTTGTCCTATCAGGTTTGTGAGTTTTTAGTAGCACCGTCATGTATTCTTTATGTTGTGGCTAACGACTAATTTATGCATGGGATAAGATTGTCACATGCTTGCTGTGTTAAAGCTTGACTATGAAAGAGCATTTTAAAATCCACCAGAATGATAATACAATGCATGCAAATACTGTAAAATTTAAACTCTGCATTACTTTATTTAAAATTCAGTCTGAGGCTTGAATTGCTGTAAGGAATATATGTTTATAGATTTGTTATGTATAAAATAGCTTGCTTGCTGCTGTAGAAGTTAAATAACTGTTCTGTAAGTGGTATCTGACTTAATTCATACTGTGATAGTATTATATGTTCCGCTTCTAATAATGATAGTTTCTATAAGTATTTCAGATACATGTTTCTTTTGTATTTAATGGAATACAGGTCACACTTTCTAACTGTGTATAGTGCAACAGGAGAACAAGATTCTGGAGATGATGCCCAATGGGAATATGCTAGTAAAGACTGTGTTTTTCTAAGTGTTTAAAATAGTGTTTCAGATCATCTTATCAGTGTGACTTATTCCATCAAATACTGTCATCTAGCTCTGACTTGATTGAAGAAAAAGTAATAGAGTTAGCTAAGTTTTGTTCTCCAACTTGCTAGGTGCACCTCTCTGCGAAACATAAGAGACAATGAGGAAAAGGATTCAGCGTTCCGTGGGATATGTACCATGATCTCGGTCAACCCCAGTGGAGTAGTCCAAGTAAGATACACGAACAGATCTTAACTTCTTTTCTCTACTTATGTGGAATTCAGTGAAAGCTGTATATGGAGTATGAAAAAGTTTAGCTTGACATGATTCCCTGCAGTACATGATGTAGCTTTATTTTGAGGTCAAGGAGGCCAAAATGTGTATATGGTGAATGATACATATCATGATGCTTCAGTAATTATCACCTAGCAAAGGAAAGGAGAAAAGTATTGTTAAATTCAGTTTTTGTCTTTTACTTACAAAGAATATGTAAATAATGAACTTTGATTAAATAACTGTATTTTGATACTTCTGTCAGGTTGTGTTCAGGATCTGTTCAAAAATATAGGGCAGAAGTTGACATACTTAAACCTATTTTCCAGATGCAACCTAGGCTTTTAAAACAAGAAACAGAACAAAACCAGTAACCACTTCATTCTTAAAACTTGGGTCGGGAACTTTGGATATATTGCTTAAATAGTCAATGTGACAAGGAACACGTGTCTCTTTAAAATAAATGGAACATCTGAAGAATAGAATGTTACTTGCTCTTTAGTCTCCACACCTCCAAAGTAAAGCTATACCAATGTAATATTTTCTAAGACGAAAATGAAGGTGGTTTTCCCTCTCCTCTGCCTGGAATTCTTCTTCCTGAAACACAAGAATTGAGCTTCTACCTTGTTTTGAAATTTTCGGTTCATTTCACTTATGCCTTATTCTGTACTTAGGATTTCCCTCTTTTGCTGTCCATTTGTTCTTTCACATAGCTTAAGGAAAGGGGATAATTAAGGACTGTTTTCATTATCCCCTCTCTCCTTCTCTTGTAGCTGTTATCCTCAGTTCCTACCCAAAAACGTGCGTTATCAACTTGATGATTAAAGACTGGTGTTTTAATGGTGTAGTAGGAGGTAATGCATGACAGCAGATGAACTAAGTATAGGAAGTTTGGGGAGGCTTTAGTTTTGAACCTGTATGATAAACATTCTGTGTGTCCCAGAAAAAAACTTCTGGCTCTGCTTAAAGAAATACAACAGCTTTTTTCCCCAACTGGAAATGTGTGAGAGAGTGAGTGTTGCGACTGTGGTCTTGAGTTTGTTGCTTGTTATTAAGGTGATTGATCTTTTAACTTGGTATGTGTACTGAAAGAATTAATGTTAGACAAGTGTGGTGTGGGACGGGAGAGTTGTTGGATTTTTTTAACTGTGGTTTTATTTAAATCAAAAACCTGATTAAACAAAGCTGTTCCTACACTCAGCTATTTCTGTTTCTGAACATTTAGGCGTAAAATAACTTACTGTTATTGTCTGAATTAACTGGAAAATACATACTTAAACACAAAAGCAGTTGTGAATTAGGATCAAAAACCCTGCATAGTTCATAGAATGAACATCAAGCGTTTTCAGACCTATAAATTGAGATTTCTAACCTATGTGATTGTTTAATATTGTAGGACTTTATTTTTTTTTGTGATGCTGTTGCATCGTGGATTAGCCCAAAAGATGATCTCCGAGACATGTTCTGTAAGGTAATGTTTCCAATATAACAGTATATTCTAACAGTGGTTGTTTTGGATCCTCTGGTTTTTTCTTGCTTTCTATTTCTACTGTTAGTACTTACTGTATTTGTGGCCATGGAGGCTTCTTTGCAAGGTCATAAATTTTCAAACAAAACAACATAAAAATCCTGACTTTTTTTTTTAACCTATATTTTCTTATATGCATTTGGGTGGGTTATTCCAAACTTTTTTTAACAGTATTGAAAAGTTCACTTGAGATCTTAACTAAAGGAATAATTATCCTCAAAGAGCTTCCTTCAATAACCTAGGCTCCTCTTTTTCAGATTCTTTCCAAATTATCCATGTGGGATCTAACGCATTCAAACTAGACAGTGGTTCTTAGTCGCTTGACATAAGGACATCCTTGCTTTTTAAAGTGTATTCTTTTGTGCTTTTTGCCATGCAAGAAGGGAGACAAAGCTTTCTTCAAGTAATGGCATGCACGTTTTTTAGATTACTTCCTCCTGAGAATACATGACTGTTGTAGTCCAGTTACATATTTTTCCAACAATAATTAGCCTTTCAGGAACAATGGAAAAAAACTGGTTTGTCGAGTGTTTCTTTTTTTGTTTTGGTTTGGTTTTTAGCACTAAAGCTGAGAGAGAAAATATCACTTCCAAGAGCATGGGTAGATGAGCTGCCATGTTGAAATCTGACACATACCCTAAGAATTTTATCACTTTTTATAAAAGCAAAGTATCTGAACACTGTAGCTGAAGCTCACTTGCTAAAAACTCTACTGGAAGATTATTTTAAAAGCGTTCCTTTTGTCATAGCTGAACATTCTTAGATTTTCAGTAGTTTCTTGGCAGCTGGCTAATCTGAGTCTTTGGGTTAGGAAGGAGAGGTGAGCCTGCTTGTGGAAGGTTTCTTTCAGGGAGAAAAGCAGTAAGTTAACTGGTGACACTGTAATGTCATTATTGCTACATTCTGTTTAAGAACAGCTCTGCTTGAGAATGTTGTGTTGAGGGTAAACTCGATACCATGAGCTTTAACTTTTCTGTGAGGATGTGTTCATGATAGACTGTTCCACAATTCAGTATCCTTGAATTTGAAAAAGAAAAACAAAACTTTAGACTCTCTTGGCATTATTTTTTACGATGAGCCATATCATCTGCTTTTGCTCTTTCTAATGTTTGCCTTTTAACCTGCTGTTTCAGGGCTAACATACTAAAATCTTTTTGATAGTATCATTTAATTTATTACATTGGAAGGTCCAGACTGAAACCTGTAGATTTTTTTTTTTCCTCTCTCGCTGGCTTTTCACTGCCGCTGACCGTGGATCCCTGTTCTTTCAAAATACAGAAGATTTTAGCAGGTTCCTTTTTAGTGACAGTTGTCTTACAGGTTCCATGGAAAAAATAGAGCTCTCTCAGGATGCTTTTGTATTTGTGCTAGAAATTGACATTCGTTCTGTCAGATGCTGGATGCAGTTTTGGCTCAGCTTTCTTCCCACAACATATTACACATTTAAAAAAGAAATGTGAATACAGTAATCTTAACATATATAAACTGTGTCAATTGATAAAATGTTTAGCATTCTGAAACGGCCTAACTTGAGGTTGTAAGTCAACTTACTCATTAAAAATACATATAGATATGTATACACACACTAATTTGTGTGGGTAGCTATATTCTACATGTCACCCTTCAAAGAAAAAATATTTTGGTTAAGAAAGACATTACTAGACTTCCTTTGTTTCTTAGTAGCATTTCAATATTAAATTGGAGAATTCAAATGGACAGATGTACAATCCATCACTTTGTGGCTTACTGCATATGTTGCTAGTAAATAATGATCATGTATCTACTGTTTAGTGATTATCTTGACTTCCCCCCCCCTCATTTGTAGATTCTTCATGGATTTAAAAATCAAGTTGGGGATGAGAATTGGAGGCGTTTCTCTGACCAGTTTCCTCTTCCCTTAAAAGAGCGCCTTGCAGCTTACTATGGAGTTTAACCTCATGCACTGTAGCTGCAGTCCCATAATTAGAGGTAAGCACACAAATCTTCCTTCCTAAACAGAGCTGTATAACAGACTTCCTCCCTGTTTGCATTATATGAAACATAATTAATTAATCACACTAGAATTTTTCAGATACGCTGGATGAGACATCTTTTCTTCCTATAAGAAGGAAAAAAAAAGGGATGATAGTATACCTAGATGGTGGTAGCTGTAGCGAAAGCAGTTGTCTGACTCTGTTATTTTATTTTTACAGAGAGAGAGAGAGAGAGAAAGAAAGAAAAAGTGAGTGTATGATATGCGCGGTAGTGTGTCAAGATAAGGTTGGAAGTGTAGGTATAAAAAAGTGCCGGTTCAGGTTTAATAAGCAAAGTGGTGAATGTGATCCTCAAGCCATTGTACTAAACACACAGGCTCCCTTATGTCTTATGAATTAGTAGATAGCAGATGTGGTCAGGAATATTCCTCTAGGATAGGAAAGCAAGTTTGTTAACACACTTTAGCCATGGGAAGTCCAGTATACTCCTAACCACATACTAGATGATCTTTGCACTGAATAAAGGATGTTATGTTAATCTGTTACTCTACTGTTAACTGTATAGCTTGATGTTTTGGGGAGGCTGATGTGTTTATTACTACCATGTTCCATTTTGTGCACCAATATAGTTCTGTGTGGAGAATGATTCAACTTCAGCAAAGAACAGTGATAGTGCATTCTAAAATAGTTATATTATTATACCTCGCTTTGTATGCTGTCTGTGCACACTGTATGAAACAAATTTCCCATGTGTAAAGTAGTATGATATGTGAAGAGATTATTATACTACCCAAAAAAGAGGGTGAATTAAGTTTATTCATTCAGTCTTTATATAAATTTGATACTTGCTGTAGAATTTTTGTACTGAAATTATGGGAGTGAATCATTCAATTCTGTTTTATTTTTGAATGGACAACTACTTAAAAGTCAGCCTAAGATTTTTTCAAAGCCAGTCACATAAGAAATCCTGTTTGAATTACATGTTTGATCTGAACAATGGATTAAAGATAAAACAATTTCAAACATTTACATATTTATCAATGAGGGCATTTTAGTGCTGACATAAGGGTGTTTTCTCCTCCTGATGAAGAGGAATCTAAAGGATAAAATTCTCCATTATTCTCAGTTTAAACTGAGGGGACACTATGGCTATCTTGTTTAATTCACCTAAAAGTGAAGTTGTTAGGTCAGTAGCAGATATGTTTAATATTCTTTCTCAATGTCATAACTATTTCATAATTTTGTTCTAAAAATGGAAAAGCTTGTTAGAATATATAGGACTGCTTTTATCTTAAATCTAAGCTTAGCAACAATAGTGGAACTGTCAATACATAAGCATACATTGTTGTTTCATGAATAATAATGTATATGATATAAATGGGCTCTTTTCTTAAACAGGCTTAAAAGGGAAAATGTAGGCATAAATTTGTTTTTAAGCTGAAGGTTGGCACCTACTGCTTAAAAAAGGCAAAAAAGCTCTTTGTTTATACACAGGTCTGTCAGTTAAGGTTCAAGGTAAGATTTAACTATACTTTTATCTTTTCCTTTTACAGGTCCTTCAGTCTGGGAGACTATGAGGGAGCCTCTGCACCCAGGGAAAATGTTACCCTTTACTGGGGGGAAGGGTAAACCAGTAGGGAATACAGTACAGTCCCAACCCTACTGGGAGGGGCGGGAGGGAGGTGTTGCCGTCACTGTATTAAGTCGATGTTGGGAAATGTTTTAACATCTGGAGCCTTTGTGGGTGGAAATCTGTCTCCTATTACAACTCTGCACTGGATGTGAAGAAGAAAAAAAAAAAAAAGAATCTAGTCACAAAACAGCACATTCTGGAATATTGTGGGGAATTGTATCAAAATAAGAACCATATAATTGAACTATAGGGATACGTAAAGAGGAAAATTATTTTGCGCACAATAAAGGAAACCTAAGAATGGGGGTCACAAACAGTAAAAGGCTTTCTTTTTTCTTTTATGTTTTTTTACGTAAGGGTTTTCTACATTATTTCATCCTGCTTGATGGGATTCCTAGGTATTTGCATGTTAATGAAGAACTACACAAATGAAGTTAGTACAGTTGAAATGCAGCTTGTGTCTGTATTAGGAGCAGGCACTTGCAGTGTACAATATAGAAACCCCATCGTAAATTAATAAAGGTTAACTTGGACAAAATGAAGCAACCTGCAAGCTGCCAAATGAGTCACTCCTTTCATTTTTGGGGTAAGGGGAGGGACATTTCAAAGAAAAGATTGACATCTTAATTTTTACATTAAAAAAAGAATTAAAGTAGTGGATATGATTTGATTATTGTACTTCATTAGATTTAATTTCTAGAGTAAAGCATTATTCTTAACGTGCAGTTTAAGGTTCAGGCATGCATTCTGGCTTATAGTGATCAGAAATAATTTAAATTAGTGGGAAAGTAGCATGCTTGCATCACATAGAGTGAAATTGGTATACATTTACCTATGTTGCGCCAGTTTTGTGTTGCAGTTTACCAATTCAATATAGCCCTGCATTTAAAATTCCTTTTTTAAGATTCTGTGGGTTTTATTTTTATTAAGAATATAGATATAAAGTACTGTAGTTAACAATTAGGCCTTGAAATACCTTTTTAGGATCTGTTAAGAATAAGATTGATATTGTATTGCGTGTAACCTGCACAATGTGGAAAGCTGATATAGCTGTGCAAAATATTTGCCTCTGTGCTGTCAGTGTGATGTGCTTTCTGCATGGTTATATACTAGTGATTTTATCAGAATCTCTAAAAATGAATTACATGGTAAGACCCGTTAAAGGCTGCATAAATGTTAGTTGGCACATAAAGACAATTGTAGAAGTTGATGACATGATTGCTATATTTGTGTTTATTCCCACTCAACATATTACCTTCTACGCTTTCTTTTTGTTCAAAGCATGATCTTAAAGAGATGTTTAAGTTAATGGATGTAATGCAGGGTATCTACACTGTATCGGCGCATGTTGGTGGCCCTTTGTGATGTAGTTAAATGCACAAGGGTGCAAGTTTAAAGCTACGGAGTGAAAGTTGGTTTGGATCCTCTTCATTTCATTTGTTTAGCTTTTCTGTTGTGTTTTTTTTCTCTACTTACATGTATTCCTGTGAATAAATCCTTGTTAAGTTAACCCTTTACTTTTCCTTCCACGTGTATTTTCTTATGTACTGTGAATGTGAAATCCTAACTGGTACACTTGATCTTGTGTCCATCTGAAAGTGGCAAGTCTTTAATAATTTAGATTGCCTAAAGAGTATCCCATGATGATAAAGGAAAATGGAGAGATTTTTAACTCTGCTGGTCAGAGGTGAAGCCACACCTTTCCATTTTTCAAGTGCTGCATAATTAATCTGCAAAACAAAATTAAGCCATAACAGCCTTTTTATAGATTTAGTTTCTCACCTTTGCATTGCAGAATGGATACTGGATAACAGTTCTGGGGTTTTTTTGTTTGGTTGTTTTTGGTTTTGTTTTTGTTTTTTAAGAACTTGCTCTTCTTTGCATGGTTCTGTTCTTTGACTGTTGGATGATTTAGCCATTGCACTGAAGTTTGAGCTGTGTGAGTGTGAACTTATAAATGCTGTTTAAAGAATTTTGATTTTTTTTTATGCATGATAGCATGCATGTTTTACATGTCCCCCCCTCCCCCCCCTTTTTTTTTGGCTTTGCAAATTTTAATGGATTATGCCTGAAGAGTAGTTTGGACATGTACTGTATGAAGTACATTCAGTAATACAGTATTTATTCAATTTGGTCAAAATTGCATGTGATAACTTGCTTTCAAATTACATTGCTTTGGTAGCAAATACAAAATTCCTTCTTAACTAATAACTCTGAAGTAAATTAGTAAATAGTCACTAAAAACACTTTAAAACTAAATTCTGCAAGAAAAAAAACCAAACAAACCTTTAAAATTTAGCAAGGTGGGATAATATTTTAGAGCCAAGCTTGCTTTAATTTTGAGTGTGTTTGAACGTTAGGGAAGAGTTTCAGAGAAATGACATTAAAAAATTTGTAGAATAGAAAACGTACCCAAATAATACTGTAGCATAACAGCTAGAATCTGAGTTTAACTAAACTTACTAAATTTCAGAAAGCCCTTTTAACCAAATAAAACCACTCCACCTCACCTCAGATTAGCTTAGATTGCCACTTTTGTACATACGTATTTTAATAGGTATTTGTACAGATGTGAACTGATCTGGTATAACAGCAAGGAAAATAATTAAAATAAGGCAGAAATAAACAGTACTGACAAAATAGTCTTTTGTATTAGTAAGTTATCTCATGGTATATTTTAAAGCAAATAAACCATATTTCTAATGCATAATATAGCGCAGAGATTTGCAGAAGCCATTTAGGGTATAATGTGAGGTAAGAAGAGTTCTGAATTAGCATTAACAGTTATAATTCAATTATTGCATCATGGGATATATAAAAAGCATCTTAATTCTTGTGGTGTAGTCGTGACAGTTCTTGAATGTTGACTGAATGTTTATACTGGTAGAATTGTGAGTTTGTCTTTGTTACATTCCAGTGTTTCTGCCTCTTGGCATGCTAAAAGCACGGCTTACTTCATTTGCTCCTTACACACTGAATAAAGTGCTGTTAGTGTGCTAAACTACAGAAATAGCCGCTGCTAAGTAATGGTGTAGATTTTCTACTTGAATATTTTTGTTGTAGGAACCTCAGGAGGTCAGTGTTTACTGTTTTTATATATGCCTTTTTCCTGTTTTGAGTTTCCCTTTTTGAAGGATTCTGAGAGTGAACAAAAGCTGCTGATCAACCTAAGTTGGTAACAGAAAGTGTATTTTAAATCCTTATAAATGCATCTTTTTGGCAGTTCTAAATTGCTGTTAAATTAGTCTTAAGTGAAGTTCAATACTAAATTTTTTTCATCACACATTCAGGAAACAGCTCTTTTCATTTAGGGAAAAAGATTAGAATAGTTCATTATTTTAACCAGTGCAAGCAAAAATAATCAATTTTGTAAATTTTTTCCAAACGTTGATTATTTTCTAAATCAGTTAATATGTATATATTTAAATTGTAATAAGCTAATTCTTACACTTTAGTTTATTGCTCCTTAAAGCTTGTACTCAAAAGATCACTTTTAGAAGAATGGGTTTAAAATTTATAATCATTATAATTTTTAAAAGTTATGAAGTAGCATAAATTTTGTAACTAACAATATTGATACACACTGTGATTTTTTTTTTTTTGTTAGGACTTTTATGTTAGCATCAATCTTAATTACTTAAACTGCATATATTGTATAATAGTAAAATGTATATTTTAAAACTTCAAGTGGCTTTCCTCAAGTGAAACTCATTGCTACTTAGAAATATTCAAATACTAGCTTTATCTCAGGTGAATACTCTTGTACCCTTTTTGTTCAGAACACATGCTAATAAAAATGTGTCTTAATTATATCAGTTTATGTATTTCATTTAGGCAGCTCCTCTGTCTTAAACTTACTCTAAATTAACCTTCTACTGTGGGACAATAATGACTTTTGCTTCACCTATTTTATTCATATTGAATGTATTAACAGATAAGGTGCAAAAACATTCTTCCCTTGAGGAGAATGCATCCATATTCAAACAACTGAAATATTTCTTGAAGAATGCTTTAAATGCAACATCATATTGGAAATAGTTTGTTTCAGATTTTGTCAAGGAAAGAAGTTGCAACTTAACACTAATTGCTTCAATACTATCTCTTTCATGAGGGTGATAGACGCATAAAGCTTCTATATAGGGTCTAAAGAGTAACTTTTTATCTTAGATAAAGGTTAAGCTCTACAGTAAATGACTGCTGTAAATGGCAATCTCAGATAGTCGCTGATGTAGTTTGCATACATCTTTGTTATGTATCACATAAGCATTTCCAGTAACTTCATCTTGAATAACTAAAACTTGATCAGTAGCTGTGTATTTCACTCACGTATGCATTCTCCAGAATGACTTGCATCCATCAGTCTTCTAGGTATTCTTCTCCAGTAGAAACTGGTTTTTGTCTGCCACTGATGCTTGCTCTTTGCACTTAATGGTTGGAGCAAGCTAGTTTTAGATTATTATTTTAAATGGAAAACTGAGGAGAGTACTCTTGTTGCTTGCCTTGTAGAGTATATTCTGCTAAAATAATGATACTTACTCACTTGAATGTACTTATATGAGGGAAGTTTAAAATGGCTCTATAAGATGAATCCCTGTGTGGTGTTACAGTATACTTTAAGCCAAATCCACATCTCGAAGAATTCAGCGCTTATAATATAGTACCATTTTTCTATAAGTTGGTTCTATTGTGCTACTTTCACCTTAGATACCTATTTCCTTACTTTCAGTGAGCAACAAAATTAAGAAGGCCTGGGTGGTTTTTGCGAGGACAGCAATTAGAAAAAAAGATTAGCATAAGCAGGTTCACCTGGCTGTTGAGATCTCCAGTGTAATATTATCTTTTTTCATGGGAAGAGATAGGTATTTATGTTGTACATTGTCTGACTTACTAATACTATTCGCTTGTAAAATTTTAAATTGGATGCAGTATACAAAATAGTTTAAAATGAAAGATGACTGGATCTTTCTGCTGACAACTTAGGTTGTATGAGTTTTGCTTGAAAGCTTTAAATCTGATGTTTCTGTATCTGCCACAATGTTAGAGTGTTTCCTTCAAACATATCCTCCTGCAACCTCTCAAACTGTACTAAATTGAGTGATATTTCTTGAAGTCTGCCTATGTGCTAACAGAACTTCATTTTAAATAGAATATGGTTTTAATTTTTGATAAGCTGCTGAATTTTAAAGAGTTTTTGGGGCCACCAAATATTTTGGATCATGCAGAGAATATATATTGTACTGTAGTAATTTTGTATTTACATTTGTATGATGTGACATAATAGATGTGAATGTTAATCACTGCTTGACTATGTAATAAAGTTGTTTAAATATAGATGTTGCATTCCAGTTTTTAATGAAAGATGAAAATTGTATGTTCAATTTATGTTTTGCCTGACTCAGTAGTGCACTCTTCTGGTTCACACATGTAAGTTCTGGAGTCACTTGAATAAGGATTTTCATTTTATCTGAAAGAAAATGATCTTTGGATAAGTTAAGGTCAGTTCAGTTTAGATGCTTCATGCTGCTTGAGGGCAGATCAATGTAGAAATAGGAGGTTTATATGAACTGAAATTAATGCCTGTTGGGTGATACTGGTAACTGCTTTACTACTGAGAACTGGTACATTGACTGTATTTTTGTTTGAAACAACTGATGCTTGCTAAGTCTGACCAAATGGGAAAGGAAAAAAAAAATCATTCTCATTGTTTGTGCTATCAATAATGTGAATAATAAAGGAGTAAACTAAAAATAAATTAAAATTATTCAAGACCTTGAACCAAAACTTGCAGTGGTCTTAGTCTAATTTTATCCAGCTTTTATGGGACTGTGATAATACAAACTATTTAAAGATCTGTCCTTCCTCATACAGGAGTCTCTAAAATGAAAGCACGAACCTAACAGTAGGAGCTCTCTGGACAAAATCCACCCATGTTGATTTGAACATCTTATGTTCACTTCCAATATTTAAGAGTTGATCAATAGCATGTAGACAATTTAGACAATTACTGTGCATGTCTAGCACAGAGAACTTCTATAGTGTAATGATTAAATTCAACTAAATTGTCATGATATAACTACTTACTATAATAAAATTTATAGTAGAAATTAATTGCTGCATACTCAGCTGAAAGTCTGCTTAATGAAGGACTTGGACTTCTGCCTCCAGAAAGAGGAGAAGGCCGTGGAACAGCTGTTAACAGCAGTGTAGGTGTGTAGAGACCAAGTTGATAGTCAGAGAGATCAGTTCCTGTCGGCTGAGCGCACCAGTGGCTGTGTGGGAGGGGATGGGGGAAGTTTTGTTTTCTTTCAAATAGCCCTCCCCACTCCCCTTATGTTGTGGAGTACCTATGATAGATTATCCTGCTGTCACTTAGATGTTTTGTTCAAGTCTCCTATTATCCACTTAGAGCCTGATCTTAAGCTGTGGCCTCTAATTTTGAGTCTGACGTTAATTACTACCTGTACGTTCAAACGAGATGAGTAGACTAAGTACTAGCATCTTGAATAAGTGAAATGAA